CAGATGAATATTAAAGTTCTTCTTGCAAAATTTGAAGAATCTAGTTCTATGAGTTCCCAGATAAACGAACTTTTGTATTTAATTAATATGGGAGGTGGCAAGCACGCCATTGAAAGTCCGCCCGTTATTATCTAAATGTTCAGATGAATGTCCAAATTCTTCATGTAAAATTTGAAGATTCTAGTCCTAATAGTTTCTCAGATATACGAATTTTTCTATTTAATTTATATGGGGGCTCCACGCCCCTCCGCCCTTTTTTCTCCAAAATGTTCTGATGAATATTAAAGTTCTTCGTGCAAAATTTGAAGAATCTAGTTCTATTAGTTTCCCAGATAAACGAAATTTTGTATTTAATTAATATGGGAGGTGCCAAGCCCCCATTGAAAGTCCACCCCTTATTCTCAAAATTTTCATATTAATATCTATTTCTATTTAAACTATATGGGGGCTCTAAGCCCCCAGATGAAAATCCGCACTTTTTTTTACAAAATGTTCAGATGAATATTAAAGTTCTTCGTGCTAAATTTGAAGAATTTAGTTCTATTAATTTACCAGATAAACGAATTTTTGTATTTAATTCATATGGGAGGTACCGCTCCCCTCATTGGTAGTCCGCCAATTTATAACCCAAAATGTTTACATGGATGTTAAAGTTCTTCGTGCAAAATTTTAAGATTCTAATTGTAATAGTTTCCAAGATAAAATAATTTTTCTATTTAATTTATATGGGAGGTGCCACGCCCTCTCCTGCTAGTCCGCCTACTTTTTGTCCTAAATAATCATATTGACACTAAAGTGGCTCCTACAAAATTTGAGGACTCTAACTGTTATATTATCTCAGATATACTGATTTAATATTTTCTTAATAGGGGCGTTGCTCCTCGCCCACTTCAAATTTCAAAATAAAAAGTAGCCTATAACCTCTTCCAGATATACAGGAATACACTGTGAAAATTTCAAGAAAATCGGTTCAGCCGTTTAGTAGTCTATAAACTTCAAATATACAAACACACAAATATATAAACATACAAATATACAAACACACATTCATTTGTAAGTAGATAGATAGATAGATAGATAGATAGATAGATAGATAGATAGATAGATAGATAGATAGATAGATAGATAGATAGATAGATAGATAGATAGATAGATAGATAGATAGATAGATAGATAGATAGATAGATAGATAGATAGATAGATAGATAGATAGATAGATAGATAGATAGATAGATAGATAGATAGATAGATAGATAGATAGATAGATAGATAGATAGATAGATAGATAGATAGATAGATAGATAGATAGATAGATAGATAGATAGATAGATAGATAGATAGATAGATAGATAGATAGATAGATAGATAGATAGATAGATAGATAGATAGATAGATAGATAGATAGATAGATAGATAGATAGATAGATAGATAGATAGATAGATAGATAGATAGATAGATAGATAGATAGATAGATAGATAGATAGATAGATAGATAGATAGATAGATAGATAGATAGATAGATAGATAGATAGATAGATAGATAGATAGATAGATAGATAGATAGATAGATAGATAGATAGATAGATAGATAGATAGATAAGATAGATAGATAGATAGATAGATAGATAGATAGATAGATAGATAGATAGATAGATAGATAGATAGATAGATAGATAGATAGATAGATAGATAGATAGATAGATAGATAGATAGATAGATAGATAGATAGATAGATAGATAGATAGATAGATAGATAGATAGATAGATAGATAGATAGATAGATAGATAGATAGATAGATAGATAGATAGATAGATAGATAGATAGATAGATAGATAGATAGATAGATAGATAGATAGATAGATAGATAGATAGATAGATAGATAGATAGATAGATAGATAGATAGATAGATAGATAGATAGATAGATAGATAGATAGATAGATAGATAGATAGATAGATAGATAGATAGATAGATAGATAGATAGATAGATAGATAGATAGATAGATAGATAGATAGATAGATAGATAGATAGATAGATAGATAGATAGATAGATAGATAGATAGATAGATAGATAGATAGATAGATAGATAGATAGATAGATAGATAGATAGATAGATAGATAGATAGATAGATAGATAGATAGATAGATAGATAGATAGATAGAAGATAGATAGATAGATAGATAGATAGATAGATAGATAGATAGATAGATAGATAGATAGATAGATAGATAGATAGATAGATAGATAGATAGATAGATAGATAGATAGATAGATAGATAGATAGATAGATAGATAGATAGATAGATAGATAGATAGATAGATAGATAGATAGATAGATAGATAGATAGATAGATAGATAGATAGATAGATAGATAGATAGATAGATAGATAGATAGATAGATAGATAGATAGATAGATAGATAGATAGATAGATAGATAGATAGATAGATAGATAGATAGATAGATAGATATACTCATAACTGTTATAGTGTATTATAAGCTCTGCCAAGCCCGACGATAACATCTTACTAGTTTTTGTATACTTATTTTCTGAAAATTTTGATTTTAGCCCATAAACGCATAATAAGCGAGATATCCGCTAAAACAGATATGTTCGGTGACCACTTTTAAAGTAGGATTTTATGAGTTAAAATTATTTCGTAATGTACGGGAATATTTTGTTATTTTACGAAATAAAATAATTTAATATAATTAATTCATGTTTTTGATAGCAGGAGATCATTTTTTGAAATGTTGTCCATTTAGTTTCTTTATCTCATTATGTGAACCGATCTACAATGATCCAAAATTATAAAATTGGAATTTAGAGATACGTGTTAAGTCGGCGTGGCTGGGTTGACAATCCTTGATCGTTGTTCGTTGAACTCCGAGTCGTTCCGGTACGAAGTACCAATTGTCGTTTGAACGTGGGAACAACTCAATCTCAGATCAAGAGGTTGACTTGTTCGATGAAAAACATGAACATTTGATGCCTCATGAACATTTGATGCCTCACACCTGTTAACATTTGTGGTGTGTTTTTCACCATTTTCGAGTTGAAATATTTGAAAATATTATAATAATCGGTATTTGTTTATCACTTAATGATACTTTTATTCAAAACTCCTTAACAGGGTTGTAAAGAACAATTTTGTCTTTAAACAAGTAAGAAAATATTGTCGGGCATGGCCGACCATATGATAATCTACACCATGAATATATTTTAAAATTTATTTATATTTCATAAAGAAACTTTTATGTTGAATTTTACCTTAATTCCGATGTATTTAAGAAATTTATTGATGAAAAACAAATTGTTTAAAAGAAGCTATAAATGGGAGTTGGAGTCAAATATGGGCCGATGCTCATAAAATTTGGGATGTATTTTTTATAAAAGTTACTTATGCTGAATTTCATTACGATACTAATAGTTATATGTCAAATTTGCACGTTTAAGACAGTGTTTAGAGGGGTTTGTATAGGGGCTAGGCAGTGTCATTTATGCTTATATAAAACTTAGTTGTACCAATTTTTGGAGAGATAGTAATATATTCGAAGAAGTTATGAGCTGAAATCGAAAAGTCCAGTTGTATGGGGGCTAGGTGAAATAATGGACAGATTTCAACAATTTTCAATAAGCTTTGTCCTTGTGCCGAAAAATACGTATGGTCAAAATTGGTCCTTGCGTACAAGGTTTAAATGGACAGCCAGCCGAAAAGTAAATTTGAGTTGATCGTTATACTTTAAGGTGGGTGTAGGACCACTATAGTGGTGTAGGGTATAAATATTGTAACAAAATTGCAAAAGTGTTGCACAAAATATTTATTTTTCTCATTTAGAAAAAATACTTCATCACTTCACTGCGAAAAAATAATATAAAATTCCGTAACATCTGTTCACTCTCTTATAAGTCTTGTTATGGAATTTTTGATATTTTCAAATATTGCAAAAAGTTTTTACCGTCCCAGCAAAAAAATTTTGAAGTTGTTAAAGAAAAAGGGATATTTTCATGATTTCTTTAGTAAGTATTATAAGTATTTAATGCGTTTTAAATACATGCTTAAATTCTAATAAATTTGTCATCAGTAAAGACATGAAAAATGCACCCAAATTCACTCATGTAACTCCACTATATGAATTGTAATATTTTACTATAATTTGGTATTATCTTAGGAGATTTAACGAAAACGTGCATTTCATACAATAAATATTTAAAATGACATTAATTTTTTTATTAGATTTTTGTTAAAATTAGTAATATTAAGTCCATTTTAACATTAATAAGAGAAGGAAAAAACCAAGACTGCTTAACGGATTTTAAAACACATTTTTCCTCTGCATGAATTTAAATTCAATCAAAATCAGTTAGTTATGTTTTATCTTATTTTATTTTTATCAATATCACGCAAAAAAAATATTTAAATATTGATAATTAAATCGAAATATGTACCATTATTAATGCATTTTTAAATAAATATAGTGCACCAATGAAAATTCGCTTGAGAATCATCGAATATTCATTGGTTATAAGAACTCATTTAAATGACGAACTATTTTTCCAAATAAGAACCCATGCATGCCAATGACACGCTAATGTTAAAATCATGCATGTTTCCCCTAAATATGAACCAGTTCATTATCAGTTCAACCCATGCATTTAGTACTTTTTTTGTACGTTTTTTTTTTTTTTTTTTTTTTTTGCTGGGGTAATGTATATCCAAGATAGTCTGGTACAAAATACAATAAAATTAAAAAAGTATTTGGTTTCTAAGAAAATATATATAAAATCTACAACATTCAATGCGTTAAAAATTGTTAAAATATTAAATCTTAAAATATAGCTTTTATCAACTTTGAAAAAAAGTTAACGAATATTTCAAGTTTACAACATTCAATGCGTTAAAAATTGTTAAAATATTAAATCTTAAAATATAGCTTTTATCAACTTTGAAAAAAAGTTAACGAATATTTCAAGTTTACAAAAATTCCACTTACTTTATATAAAAGACAATTGTAGGATCTTTGCAGAAGTGCGTTAAAGACCACACTCCTGATGTAGTTTCTCCATTGTAACGAGAACGACCAATAGCCTCCCATATGCAATACTGAATTGGAGTTAATTCCTTCGGGCGTGTTACATTTTCCGGAGTTAATGCATTGTAACGTAACTCTTGCGATGCAACAATAACAAACTTATTTCCCCAACTTAGAAAATAAAAAAACTTTATTAAATTTAGACAAATATAAAATAAATACATACATTTTAGATACAGTTTCTACATTGAGGTCCATTACAACATTAAATGGTACATTTTTGCGTTCTTTGTACCATTGACATGATCCCATAATATTACCATCTGATATTGGAACGCAATTGTATCGAACGAAGGGGCACTCTTCCTATAAATAAAATTTTCCAATAATAAATTGTTCAAAATTCTATCAGTAATATTGAGTGAGGCTTGTTCGGAAAAATATATATGAGAATGTATGAAATGAATTGAGAGATATATTAAAATCCGTAAGTTTGTAATTCTGGAATAAATTGTCAATAATATTTTCGAAATTTATGTATTTTTTTTAATTTAAAAAAAAGCGTGACAACAAAATTACTAAAAATTTGGTAAAAATAAAAAGAACAGAAAGTAGGATGAGAAAGTCTTAATTATATATTATTGATTTTTTTCAATACTTATTTTCAATAAATTAACAAGAACTCCAGAAGGATGATAAAAATTAAAACCTCTTTATTTCGTATAGGAAAAAATAAAATTTGTTAATTAACCGTCATACATAGCCTTTTCCAAAATTATATGTTTCATTCCATGAGCAAACAAAAAGTATTAGTTTGTAAAATAGCGTACTGAACGTATTTGTAAAAATATATGAAATCTCTTGAATTATTTCTATCACCTCGAATTTAAAAAAGCATTGGGTTCCAGAAAAATAGTTTAGAATACATTTTAAAGTATTCACTTGTGTTGGCGTAATTTTAAGTTATTTATCTTCATGAATCTTTTTGCATTATTTTGAATTACAGTGTAAATTATTACATTTCTCATATTTCTTGTTGCTTGTGTTTGGGTAGACATTTAATTCTGATTTTTTCCGGTTAAACCTATTTCCAATATAAATCTTTTTTTGCAAAAATTTGTCTTTTTTTTTTTTGTTTATATACTAAAATTGCAAAAAAAGCTAAAAATGCTAAAAATATTTTATAAAAATGCTAAATAAAATGCCAAATACTAAATTAAAATCTTACAGCTAAATCAAAATAAAAAATGCTAAATCTAGCTGCAAAACTGCCAAAATGGTCACACTGCAAACGAGTTTATTTTTGTTTTTTTGACTTTGCTGTTTGAATTTGCCTGTTTATGTTCTCATAGTTACAGTTAAGCAAAAAGGCAAAAGCAGAACATAGTGAAGCAAATACAAACCCTAGTGAGGCCTAAAATGAGTTGATATAATTCTCATTTCGTTTATAAAATTAAATATATACTATATTCAATAGTCTCTATCTAAAATAATATAAGTTTTCAGGAGAGCAAAAAAAAATGTTTATTTCGCTGATTCATGAAGATTTTTAAATTTTTTCTTCTACAATATATTTCTACGAACTTATCTAAGACTCTTATGTAAAATGAATTTAAAATTTTGCATTATTTGCAAAATTATTCACAAATTTATATCAGATAGAGCTTTTTTCCTTCAAAAATGTTCATATTACTAACAGATAGAGAGTTTTTCATAGTAATAAAAATTTTTATTTGCTTAATATCAATCAATATTATATTTTACGCAATTTAATAGAGTAAAAGAAACCAAATTGTTAAAAAAGTAAACACGGCAGTAAAATTAAACTGATTAGTGTCATAATGAGCGATATCTTGAAAACTATTTAGCCGATTTTAAATATTTTTAATTATTTGTCTTCAGCATGTCCAAATTAGTAAGAAAACTTGTTCTGCAACAGAAAATTATCCAAAGGGATAGAGTTTAAAGCTATTTTTGGAATAGATAGAGAGTTTTGCATTCAGATTTTTTTCTTTTTTTAAGATAGAAAAAATTTCAAAATGCCATAAAATTGCCAAAAATATGCTTCTGTCTTTGAAATTTATATCACTGATGCGGGATTGTTTGTTGGATATTTTGCCATTAAAATCTCATTTCATGCAAATTACAGATAGCGACTATTGAATATAGTCCCTCGATATGTATAAGTATTTAAATTTGTGTGATATTTATAAAGTCGATTTTCTGTCAAAGAAATTGAAATTATATTATGCATTAATTATAATAATTTAATATGTTTAATGATCTTCTACGGAAGATAGTTGGGTGACTAATCACTAAACTTAATCTAAATAATTCCAATTAATGTTTAAAATCTGATTTATTTGAAAAACAATAACAGGTGTTCGAAATATGATTGTTTATATATTTATTTATTATTTTTTCGAGGAAAAAATCGTCAAAATCGTCAATTGACTTTTGGAATTTGGTCATAGACTCACAAAGGTGTATATATTCTGGGTCCTTATTAAATTCTAAGACGATCTAGCCATGTCTGTCCGTCCGTCTGTCTGTCTGTTGAAAGGAACGAGATAGAGGATTGAAATTTTCCACAAATATTCTCTATAGGTAAGGTTTGTTTGGTATTGAAAATCGGCAATATCGGTCCACGTTTTCGGATAGCCCCCAAATACATAAGTGGACCCCCGAAAAACAGCTTTAATGGGCATATCTGTTTCAAAAGTACGAGTATAGCAATGAAATTCGACATAAATAAGTTTCATAGAAAGTTTCATGAAATTCGACATAAATAAGTTTCATATGATCCAAAATCTCCCTACCAAATTTTGTGAGGATCGGTCCATAATTGACCCTACCCCCCATATAAGGCCCCCTTCAGAAAATTACTTTAACTCTCATTACTGACTTAAAAATACGAGTATAGTGATGAAATTCTACACACATAAATTTCAATGTAGCCAAAATCTCTCTATCAAGTTTTATGTGGATCGGTCCATAGTTGACCCTACCCTCATTACTGGCTTAAAAATACTAGTATAACAATGAAATTTTACATAAAAAAGTCTCTTATGATCCAAAACCTCTTTACCAAATTTTATGAGGATCGGCCCATAATTGACCCTACCCCCCATATAAGGTCTCCTTCAGAATATGACTTGAACGCTCATTACTGGCTTAAAAATACGATATAGTGATGAAATTCGACACACATAAGTTTCAATGAAGCCAAAATCTCTCTATCAAACTTTATGTGGATCGGTCCATAATTGACCCTACTCCCTATATAAGGTGCTCTTCAAAAAATTACTTAAACGATCATTACTGGCTTACAAATACAGAATATAGAAAAGCGATGAAATTCGACACATATATTTTTTATACGAGTTAAAATCTCTCTACCAAATGTATTGAGTATCGGACCATAAGAAAATTACTTTAACGATCTTTGCTGACTTAAAAATACGTGAACAGTTATGAAATTTTATATAAGAAACATTTATAGGAACGTAAATCTTCCTACCGAATTTCATGCGAAAGTGTCGATGTAAAGATGTTTTGTATGAACCTAAATTGGTATAAAAAATTTTAAGAAAAACTGTCAATTATTAACCCTATCTCTCATATAAGGTCTTCTTCAGTTAATTTGATGATTAATATCACCTTGATGTTTATAGGGGAGCATTCCTTTTAAGGCATACGGTTTGATGGTGGGTATATGAGATTCGGCACAGCCGAATATAACACTCTCACTTGTTTATTCATTACTTTAACTATCGAGACATTTTTATCAATTTCGATTAATTTTAGTTGTCATTATCTGCTTAATTTGACAATTATACTTCAAAATACCTTATATTGAGTTCTTATAAACTACATATGCACATATGTGATATGATATACAGTAAATATGAATATGAGATATTTTTTATTCAACTTTTTTACATGTTTTTCATGAATTTTTTTTAACATATTTATTGAGAATTTTTTTCATAATTTTTATTTAAATTAAAAAAGTTAAGAATATAACATATAATATGATCTAAAAAACTCGAATATGCCTTAAATATTCTATTAAAATCGAATCATGTATATTATGCTCTTATGGGTTAGGTTAGGTTGATAGAAGGGCGTTTACTACATGAAATCCGAAGAAATACAACTAGGTCAATATCGGGCGGTCAGGAACAGGGATTTGAAAAACTACTAATTGCAGTCGCAATTTACTAAATATTTTACTAAATCTAGTTTTAGGCTAAAAAATAAATAACTTGTTAAAATGTTTAATCACAAACTAATTAAATACAGTCAACTGTGCGCACACTCTGCTGCAATAACTAGCAAGTGATTTTGTTTTTCTTCAGCAGCCACACAAACAATGTTAAGTTTTTTCAACTCAATCAAACTGAACACGACGACTGAACAGGGCAAACATTTTTGAGTAAGCTGCTTGCGTATTGTTTAGTCTTGGTTTTGTTTTCTTACTATGCACGTAATAAAAACTGGATAGAAGCGTAATTTGACAGGATAGTAAGACGTAATTTGACTGGATAGTATGGCTGAAAAGACTTGATGAGTGGTTTGATTTGAAAGATTTTGTTGTTGCGTGCGCTTTTTGTTCAGCTTAGTAGAATGGATTGTTTTTTATTTTGGCGTTTACATTTTATAATGATAAATATAAATAATATCGCTAATTTAAATAAATTATGTATAATATTTGTAAAATTAGATATAAAATATATGTATGTTATATTTAGTAGAATCGAATGGTTTCTTATTTATGTGTTTAAATTTGATGTGAATAAATATTATGGTATTCAATTATTTGGGTTTTTGTCTTATTCGGTTAATTCGACAAATAATTATTTGAGGTTTTAAGTTAGCTGGTTAATAATCGGATAATTCAAAATTATTCGGTTAATCGAATAAAAGGAAACTGGAGGTTTTTTATTAATATTATTTTTTTTTCCAATATTTTTCTTCTTTCCTATAACAAACAAAATTATAATTTATAATCAATAGTTCACATTTTATGAATTTTCCTATGAAGTTAATGAAAATAAATTCCAGAAAAATTAAATGTTTAAATAATGTCACTTTGATTTATAATTAGATAAATAGCAGAAATATAAATATATATTAAGTATACAAAATTATACTTAACCCTTTTTGACTATGGTGTAAACTTGAGGTGTACATTTTTAAAAGAAAAACTTTTTAAACTTAAACTTTTTTTAAAACTGATAATTTATTTAGTCCATTTTTTCGGTCGATCTTCGACATAATATGTCTAAAAATACAAACCGTATATGTTCAAAAAGGGTTAATTCATAAGTTTTATAGTGCATTTTTGATTTTTTGAACTTCGG